AGATCAAGCAACAAGTTGGTCAGCAGGAAGTGGCTCAGGTAATTGAGGCCCAAGTGGTACTCAAAGCCATCCTCTGTCTGTCTGTCAGGAACCATCATGGTCCCAGCTACGTGAAAGGAACAAGTTTAATATGTAGTAACCTGGTGACTTTGTAAAGACCATCATCAGTGTGTTTGTACAGCCTACCGTTATTAACCAGGACATGGAGGGGCAGAGCTCTGTCCCTGAACAACCGCACAAAGTGCCGCACAGATTTCAGTGACGTCATGTCCACGAAGACAAACTCAGCTGGAAGAAAAGAGCAGCACTGACTCTGACTGTCATCAGGTAACAGCAGTCAGTCGTTGCAGTGCATGTGACCTCTCGAGGTCACTGTGCACGCCACATCATACGCTCCACCATCAACAGGCAGAAATGATTGAGTTTGTCTCCCAGAAGTCCCTGAAGGTAACAAACATCTCAACAAGTGAGGACAGTAATATGTAAGACGAAGGGCTCTGTACTCGTAAGCATTAGCACACATGCTCATTTCTTTACATGTTGTTACACAGCAGCAGATGCTGGTTCGTCAGGATTTACATCTTGTATTCTGAGGGGAGATCGTGTCCCAGGTCAAACTGGTTTTAACACCCTCAATGTTGCCATGGTAATGGAGAAGAAAATGTGACATCCCTGGTTCATAACACCGATTATTTACTGTTAAAGTATCATTTCTAGGAAGAAATCAGGATTATTGTCATTGACAGTATTTTAGATGATCACTTATATGTTTTGCTACAGGCTGGGATGACTGATACTCACCATGTCTGGGGATAAAAGGTGTGTTTTCCAGTTAGGCTGGACTACACTAAGAGTTTATTTTCACTTATTTAAACGCGTGTCTGCGTCTACAGGCTTTCATTGGCTCTCTGTGTCACTCAGATGTGATCCTGTTATTTAGCTTTTCAGAGAGCAAGTATCACAGCTGACATTATTTCATACATGTATTTATGATGTAAAGCATTGCCATGGTATAACATTTTTATCTGATTTGAGCTTTTATTTTGGAAGACCCACTTCCTGTTTCAGAGACAATACTGAATGAGAGCTTCCGTGTTACTGGATGTGACTTACCGGTCCCTTCGGTCCCTTCTTCATGAATCTTCCTAACAGCTGCTGCACCTTCTTCTCTCTCATTCCCAGCTGGAGATGATGGAGATCAAAAGAGAGGCTTGGTGGGCAGATATCCAGCAGCTGATCCACTCAATCCTACAGCCTACACTCGCTAACAAAACCTTTGGTACGACTGATACTAATGAACAAAACACTGGAGAAAAAGCCAATCACAATGCCTCTATCAACAGGGGAAGGTAATATTCTTGTATTTTAGTCCGTCGTCATCAGGATGATGGAGGTGATGAAAAAATAATCTAGAGCAGGGTTGTCAAACATGACGCCCAGGGGCCAGAATGGGCCTGCCAAAGACTCCAATGGGGCCCACTGGATGGTTTTGGAATATGTTTAGGAAGTTGGGTTTTACAGCTTTTCCTGCTGATGAACACCAGTACCATGACCATTCATAGTACACCACAGTAATTAGATAAACAATAAAAACACAGAAGAGTTCATGTGGATGACTCTACTGGGCGATGAGACAGCAGAACTTTCTATAATTTTACACATTTATTTGTGAAACAGATTTCTTTCAATCACTACAGCAGCATCTTGTAGTAAAAATGAGACA